CTTAATCACCTTGGCCACCTCTAGAACCTGCTTGTTGTGTGAAGTCTGTAGAAATGCTGGGGAGTGGATGCATTGGACTTCTGATGAAGCAGTAATGTGGAAGAGGGCAAGCCTTTGCTCCTTCCCTCCATGTTTTTTTCATAAAATGTTCTGTTCCAGAAATGTAGCTATTTGTGCTGCATGGTGTTCCTGCCTAATGCATCAAAGTATTCTGTAACTTCTGTAACACTATGTTCCTACCAGATGTTTCAGGAATGTTCTGTTAACCCTGCCCCTCCATTTCAGTGAGCATGCTCAGCCAGTACAGGTTTCAGGAATGTTCTGTAACTCCCCCCTCCTGCTTCTGTGAGCATGCTCACCCAGCATGTGGGCCCACCCACTACCCCATAGATCTCTATATAAGGCTGCTTCCATTTCAACTTGGGGCTTGGAATTCAGAGTGGGCAAACTCCTCTGAGGTGGCTGGCTAATAAAGGTTTTTTCCACCTCTTTGAGTAATTTTCAGATTCTCAAGTCTTCACATTGCTGGAGCTGAAAGCATTTGAGCTGTAAGCATTTGAGCTGTAGCACTTGAGCTGTAGCAATTGGCTGTCGCACTGCACTATTCCACTTTGCCACAACACGGCCACATGGACTGACTGGGTGAGGAAGGAAAAGGTCTCCTCACTTGACCACATCCTCATCAGTTTGGCTGTTTCCAGAATTTGCTTGATTTGTGCAATGGTATTAAGTGGTATTACCATAGTATGTACACAGGTGCAAATGGAAACCATAAACTAACTGTAGTTATTTGTGGCCTCTGAAAATCCCCCAGATATTTAAGGACGTAGTTTGCCACCTGTGCTAATGTTTCCTATTTCTTCAAAGCACCCATTTTCCCCACCCAGTTTATCTCTGACTATGGAGAACTCACAGTAGTTCACTGGACCCTGCTGGATGTTTCACCATTTCCTTATTGGTCAGTCTGATATTAGCAGTTGCATGAGCAGGTTTTACCATTCATAAAATTGCAAAACATAAAAAGAAATGTCACTGAAATGTTCCATGTGAGTAAAGTCAAATACTTTGAGGCACTGACTTTATTCAACCTGTTTGCAATGCTTCCATTTATTGTGTCACTGATACATCTTACTTTGTTTGTTTGTTTGTTTTTTGATACTGGGGATCAAACTCAGATACTTGAGCTTGCAAGGCAGGTGCCAGAACCACCGAGCTAAATCCCTGGCCCTGATCCATCTTACTTTTAATAATATCCCCGTGGTAAAATATGAAGCAAATGAAACTTAAGGTTACAAGTTGTAGAGACCCCAGCATGTAGAGGCCTATGTGAAAGTCATGAAAATTGTACCACTGTTTCACTTGTTCTTTTTGATTTACTATGTATTTTCTCTGTTAGACGCAATTAGCTCTCATACCAGAAAAAAATTAGTTAGGATTTTTCAGGGACTGCAGCAACTATCCCTTGGGACACTTTATTTATTTATTTGTTTGTTTGTTTGTTTGTTTGTTTGTTTAGACAAGGTCTCACCCTATAATTCAGGCTGTCCTTGAACTCAGTATGCAGCCCAGGCTGGCCTCAAACTCATAACAATCTTCCTGCTTCAGCTTCCTGAGTGCTGGGATTACAAGTGTACATCATCATACCTGGCAGTTATTTTAATTTTGGGAAATAATAAACCGGGACTGACATCTGTCAAGATGTGGGACATGTATAAAACTAATTTGCATGAAGTGAAACCTTAGTTTTATAAGTAGACTTTAAAACCAAATCTTACTAATAAAATGTATAATTTTTTTCTCAAGATGCTGAGGCAGCAGAATCTCTTAAGCCTAGGGGTTCAAAGCCAATCTGGACAACATAGTAAAACCATGTCTCAAAGAGAAAGTTTTTTCTGATAGGTCCATTCTTTTTGTCCTATTTAATTTTTATTTTAGATACATATCCTTCAGCATTATCAGGACTTATTAGGAAACTAATGAATACATCCTGTATGTCCCTTGAGCCTTCGGCACTATCACTTTTACATTCCCTCTCCTTTCAGTACATCAGAGCTCATGCATCTCTACTTCTCTGCTCAAGACAAAATGTTAGGCACACAGTGCCTCATTAACTTTGCCTCACTGCCTCATTTTACTTTGTTCTATGGTGAACTGCATCTGTCCCACACTTGTAGGTTTCTCTTTTTCTTCAGCCTTAAATTTTCATTGCTGCCCCTTAATTGTGCTCCCAATCAGCTGCTAGGAATAGAATCCATACATACATATCTTCTCTAAGATGCATCCCTGAGCATTCCTCACAGTCCGAATACATGAATAAACATAACATATACTGGTCAGATTGTTTCACTCCAGTTTCTGTAAAAAGACAAGCAAGAATTTCCACTCAGCCAGGCATGGTGGTGCATGCCTGTAATCCCAGTACTCAGGAGGCTGAGACAGGAGCATTGTCATGAGTTGGAGGCCAGCCTGGGCTACATAGTGAGTTCAAGGCCAGCCTGAACTACATAGAAAGACTGTATCAAAAAAAATTCCACTCAGTGCTTAAGTTAATTGGGAAGAAATTAATATATATTATGGAATAACACACAGTCAACCCCGCCAATCCCCCAATAAATGTATGTCCATAACACAACAGAATAAATTACCCCCCCCAAAAAAAGAAAAAAGGAATGAAGGTAGGCAGGCAGGCAGGAAGGAAGGTAGTAAAATGGGTTTCATTTTGAAGACCAAATTCTTCCTCACTCGAATATTATTGAGACACTTGGTTTGGCATGCTTGAGGTCATTACCATTCTACTCTGGTTGTGGGGTTTTGCCTTTACTCCGACCATGTTCTAGGTCTAATTCTTGTCTATTTCAATCTACTCATTTCCTTGTCTTATAACTGAAATATTAATCACCAAAAATTGTTATTTGTTTTGCTTTATATAAAATTCACTCTGTAAAATACTTTTACTTATAGCCCTAAGTATAAATGTCACCAATTACATGTTTAACATAATAAATGCTTATTTTGCTATTTATTGTACATAACAAGAATTTATGTCCTTTTGATGGATTATAGTAATATATTCTATAAAACACTCTATGCTTTGATATTTTGGGGTCGGTTTGTATTTCATTCAATGTTTTATAGAATTAGCACTTCTGATGAAGTTTCACTCATTAATCTGAAGCTTCTTCTCCAAGTTTTGTTTTGCCTACTTCAATATGTTCAAGTATCTCTTATAAGTACTATTACTGGGTTTTGAAGTTGTAGGCATACAATAAAATGCTTTTGCATAACAATAACATTCATGTAACTTCTATGCTACGTGACACTAGCATGCATAAAATTTACACTTATTTGAAAAATGAAACAAAATTCTTAAATTACTCTAAAAATTATTTTGGTGAAAACATTATCATAATTACTATAAGCATTTTTTTAAAGGGTACACTATGGGGCAGAATTATGTGCCTGACTCAGGAATAATTTCCAAGACCAGTGGAAAGCAGTCACCTATGAATATGGCCAAGAATCATGTAATTTGTCCAAAAACCAGGGTGGCATTTAGTAGTGAATGTTTCTTCATAAGGAAAGAGGAGAGATAATATGCATTTCCAGAAAGTTCTGAGTACCCAAGAATTATTCGACAGAAACATTACATTGTAAAGTGTTTCTCAATAACTCTAAGTTAGAGAAACTTTCAAAATAAGAGTCTGTAGAAAGTGGAAAATTTAATCATTCTCCTGCTGTAAAGACTAAAGGTCTAAATATTTAGACGTAATTTTATATAGAGGATCACGAAGTCATGAAATAAAAGTTTACATTCTTTTTCCCCATATAATCAACTACCCTCAAAAACACCTTAGCTTTTTATTTTATTTAACTTTATTTAATATCTTTATTAAGATATAATTTAAAAGTTGTTCATGGGGCCGGGGATTTAGCTCAGTGTTTCCACCGCCTGCCTCGCAACCGCAAGGTCCTGAGTTCAATCCCCAGTAGCAAAAATAAAATAAAATAAAAACTGTTCATGTTTATGTGTATAATTTGATGAGTTTGGACATATGAAAACATGATACCATCACCACAATCAAGGTAATAGACAAGACATATTCAATACCGCCCAGTTTCCTTGACAACATTTTAAGTGAAAAGGAAAGCTCTAAATGTAATCAGTGACTACTTTTATCATGGCTCTTTTATCAGTAAATACCACCTGATCAATAAGATGATACATTACTTTAAGACATTGTTCCATGTAGTGCTCATCTGAACCAGCAAGATAATGAGAAACCAAGCTATCTATATTTTGCATTAATCCTTTAAATTTCCTGAAAATATATAATCCTGGATGTGAAACCAAACTTTAGATTCTTTACTAATACTATGATAATCCTACAAGATGAAGATTCTTCTAAAATTTAAATTTTTGCCAATTTTCTAATTACAAGAAAATTCCCATGGTTCAGGTTTGCCAGATACAATGTAGGACACTCAATTACATTTAGCTTCAGTACTTTCTGAAAGTTCTGATCTCATGTAACTTGAGACATACACTAAAAAATTGTCCATTGTTTATCTAAAATTCAGGTTTAATTGGGTGTCTTGCATCTCTATTTGCTAGATCTATTGAGGGTACTGGTATGCATCAAAATTTGTAAAACTTAGCCTCTGAAAGAGAGGGCAGTTCCATATAAGGATGTTGCCTCAATTTGCATCTTAGCAAACATTAGCTTGGTCTGAATTAACTATATGTGGAAAAGAGCAACCTCTTGAGAACAAACTGCTGTAACTGCACATAGTGTCCAGGCTATGGATTGCCAAGCACTGTGTTTGTCAAGACTAATTAGGATTTAATGAAAATAGCTACAATCTTCACCATTCTAATCTTCGTCACAAGACAGACTATTAAAAAAAGATAAAGAAAATTATAGCAAAATCTATGAAGCAATTGTAGATACCAAAGTTCATCAGGTTAACTAGAAACTCATCAGCTATTTCTCTTTTTAACCATGGCACGTAAAATGGAGAGAATGTTAATACTCTCAGCAGTTGGAGAGTTTTCCATGGGCATCTTAGGAAACACATTCATTGGATTGGTAAGCTTCATGGATTGGGTCAAGAACAGGAAGATTGCCTCCATTGATTTAATCCTCATGAGTTTGGCCTTGTCCAGGATTTGCCTGTTGTGTGCAATTCTACTGGACTGTTTTATTTTGGTGGTGTATCCAGATATCTATGACAATAATGAGAAAATGAGGATCATTGACTTCTTTTGGACCCTAACCAACCAGTTAAGTGTCTCCTTTGCTACTTGCCTCAGTATTTTCTATTTCTTCAAGATAGCCAATTTCTTCCACCCCCTCTTTCTCTGGATGAAAGGCAGAATCCACAAGGTGATTCTCTGGACTCTACTGGTGAGCCTGGTGCTCTCGGTGTTCATCAGCATTCCAGTCACTGGGAACTGGAACGATAATTTCAGATCCTGTGTCAAGGGAAGGAAGAAAACAAACTTCACCTGGAGGTGTGGAATCAATGACAACCTGTATGCTTCGACCAAGTTAATTCTCAACCTGGTAACCTTGTTCCCCTTTGCTGTGTCCCTGTTGTCATTTCTCCTCTTGATCCTCTCTCTGTGGAGACACACCAGACAGATGAAGCTGAATGCTACAGGCCACCGAGATCCCAGCACAGAAGCCCACATACGAGCCTTGAAATCTGTCATCTCCTTCCTGGTCCTCTTCGTTGCTTACTGCTTGGCCTTTCTCATAGCCACCTCCAGCTACTTTATGCCAGAGACCGAATTAGCTGTCATTTTTGGTGAGTTGATAGCTCTCATCTACCCTTCAAGTCATTCATTTATCCTAATACTGGGGAACAATAAATTAAGACAAACATCTGTGAAGGTGCTATGCAAATTAAAGTATATTCTAAAAGGAAGAAAAATTTGATATAGACATATTGGAAGAGAAGTTGCCATTTTCTAGGACAAAGGAAGATAAGATGGTTCTTGATTGTCTTGGTTTTTGCATTGATGTTGGTTGCATGTGATTAATGACTCTTAAAATTTGTGTAGTATATTTATAATTTAGGAAATCTCATGTAGAATGACTTTGCATGTCTGTATCTGTCTCTGTCTGTCTCTGTCTCTCTCTCTGTCTTCACAGTTGTTTTTAAAAATATATTTTAGAACAAATTGCATTGTTCAACAAGTTGTATTGAAAATACTAACATTAACAGGAAGGAGAATGTGTTTTCATAGTTCCAAATCAGTTCTCAAGATACAAAGTTGCATGATTAATTCAAAACAACTGTAATAGGATCCTGCTGTTATTTGCATCCTTATGAAAAGTAGGTATTTCATACTCATGGTCCCAATTAGTCTTTTCTTCTTAGGTCCTCTAACTCAGCTTCACCATTGGAAAAGAATCAATCAAGTAATAACTCTTAAATAATGCTGTGGAATTATGAGTGTAAAAATTAATACTGACTATAATCACTGTTAAGATTTTAGGATCATAGATCAGCGAATGAAAGACACTCTAGAAGTGAAGAAGGGAAATTTTATGTAGAAACTTTTTGTAAATAAAGAGCCTATTGATTATTTATCAAAGGAATTTTTTCCATGAAAAACACATACTACACCAGGCAATGGTTGTCAAGATACTGTGATGACAAGTTTAAAAACTGCATTGTTTCTCTTGTGAGAAACCCAAAGGGTAAATAAGGAACAAAACAGAAGACAGATATAGGGAAGTAGGAAGAACATGTTCGAATGGGAAGGGGGAAAGGAAGGGGGCAGGGAGAGAGAAGGAAAGGAAAAGGGGTTTTAAAAGGAGAGAATGGAAGGGGGAAATGTTGTGGGGTTTTTTGGTACCAGGGATTGAACTCTGGTCCTTACGCTTGCGGAGCAACAGAACCACTGAGCTAAATCCACAGCCCCTAGAATGGAAAAATGTAAACAAAGTTTTTGTAAATGGGGACAGGAAGAAAGGTTAAAGGGAGGGGAGAGAAATCAGAAAAAACAAATTAGGGTCGAATCAGCCCGCTGCAGACAGGCAGGTCTGCCCGAGCCCTGCCGAGGTCCTGAGTCTTGCGGAAGATGCTGAATCACGCCGCTGCAGACAGGCAGCCACCTGGTTCCACACTACAAAGACACAGAGGACACCAGACCA